TGGGAAGAGTGGGGTGGGATGGGAGGGAGAGAATGTAAATGTTTCTTGACTGAAAAAATAATAAGATTTAGTTTAAAAACAAAAAAAAAAATGCAAGGGAAACCTAGAATGGAGTACTCAGGTCAAAGAAATTGCAGACCTACCAAATTATCAGAGTAAGATGTTTCTTAAGTTGATCCTGAAGGAAAACAGGAGAAAACCATAAGCATCTGAATTACAAAGTCTGATATAATGCCTTGTTTTAACCATGTCAGTTAGGGTAAAAAATTTCTCTCATGTGCTCTGAAATTCTATTAGTGAGAATTTATAAAGCAATTCATATGGCTCATATATAATAATCACAAACATAAGAACTGAGAGAGGCTCAAGAGATCCAGTAGTCCAAACCCCTTATTTACCTCTCCCATTTCTTACCTAGTTGGCTTAAAACTTGGTAGATGCAAGGGATGGCCCATTGTTTTCCCTATCACTTTTGTCCCAGGGGCTGTCCCCTCTACTGATCACTGATCACTTATTGAATCTATCATTCGGCATCCAGGCCAAAACTATACCCTCAAATGCTCTTTCCACATAAAACGATTATGCATAGCAAGCAAACATTTATCCAAGTAAGCTGTAAAATTTCCGAACAGAAGTGAAAGAAATTACACATATTAGTTTAGACAACAGAATACTGAAGGGTAGATGGGCAGTTCAACTTAGGAGCAACATGAAATCTCAGTTCAACTGGGGAAAGAACATTCTCATCCAAGAAGTCCTCCCTTCCAGTCTTGGGAGTGGGGAGTGTACAGCAGCTGGACATCAGAGGACACTGGGGCCAGCTTTCCCTACATGCCTGCAGCTCTGGGGAGATGTGCCAGTTGCTGTTCCAAAGTGCAAGTCTTTTCTTTTCCTTTACAGTCTTTTGGCTAAACCAAAAATCCTTCCTATGTGCTGTATGCAGTGCCACAGGTTCAGATGCCTCTCAGTTAATCTAGAGCCACATCTCCCTTCACACATGCAAGTCTTTGGGGCCCTAGGCATACTGCAGAGTGTAGGGTGCTATGCTTAATTTATTGTTTTCATCTTACTGCTGTAGCTAGCATTGGATTGACACACATACACTGGCAGAGCTAGCTCAGTGTTTGGGAGGCTCCAAAGGAAAGTGTGGGAGAGATGAGGTATTAGACTGACTGCCAAACTGAGGGTCTATACAGCTGTTGTGCTGACCTCATTGTTGTATGCCTGTGAAACCTGGACAGCATACCAGCGTCATGCAAGGAAACTGAATCACTTCCATTTGAATTGTCTTAGGAAGATTCTGAAGATCACCTGGCAGTATAAGATACCAGACACTGATGTCTTTTCTTGAACAAAACTGCCAAGCATTCAACCTCTACTGCAGAGAACACAACTCTGATGGGCTGACTATGTTGTTCAAATGCCAAATGTACACTTGCCAAAAAGACTTGTATGAAGAACTCACACAGGGTAAGCATTCATATGGTGTTCAGAAAAAGTGATACAAGGCCACTCTCAAGGTCTCTCTTAAGAAATTTGAAACTTATTATGTGACATGGGAGATATTAGCACAGGACCACTCAGCACGGTGTGCCCTCGTCAGAGAAGGTTCTGTGTTTTATGAGCAAAGAAGAATTGCAGTAGCTCAAAAGAAACGCAAGATGCACCAATTTAGAGAATCCACCTCAAAAGTTCACGTGGAGTATTTGTGCCTGACCTGTCACCCTGAGCTCCTATTGGTCTGATTGGCCACAGTCAGACACACTGTAACTTGATTCTACAAGCATGGTAATGTCATTTTGGTCCTCTTTGAGAACGATGGACAACAACCAACCAGCATTTCTAGAACTATATAAAATAATACTATTGATAACGACAGTTCTGGTTTTATTCCCTTCTTTCCCCTATTCCTTCAAAGTATTCTAATTTATTTCCATCATATATAATACTGGGCCCTGGCTTTGGATAGATACTATTTACCACATTAAAGGAAGTTCTATTTATTCCTAAGGGTTTTTAGCGTCTTTTTTTTTTTTTTAACAGAAATGAGTACTGAAATTCTCAAAAGCTTTTAAAACATACATTGATACAACCACATGGTTTTTGTTATTAATGTGGAGTATTATGCTTATAGTTTTCTTTATCTTTAACCAACCTGATTCCTGGTATAAATCCAACCTGCTGACAGCAAATAATTTAAAAATTATGTTGCTGTAGACTATTTGCTAATCTTTTATTTGCATTTTTCATGTCAATATTCACTAGAGATGTTGGTTTATACCTTTCTTTCTTTCTTGGCTCTGTCTCTTCATGGTTTTGGTAACCAAGAACACATTTATCTCATAGAAGGAATTTACTAGAATCTCCTTTTCCTATTTTCTAAAATAGTTTATATAATATTGGAATCAATTGTCTTTTGAATGTTTGATAGAATGAACTTGTAAATCCATCTTGTCCCATCTTTTTTTCTTGTGAAGTTTGTTTCTAGCTCATTTAATTTTTCCTGAAGTTGTTACTGAATCCTCTGTTTCTCATTCCATAAATCTGGATATTTTATTTTGGAGAATAGTCATAAAAATTCTCAAAATCTTAGAAAAGTGAACGTTGAAAAATATATTTACATGTAATTGTAAAAAAATACTGTTAAGTTGGGGGAGAAATCAGCAAATACTTAAAAGATTAAAAAAAAGGAACAGTTGCAGATTTCATCTAAATTATCAGTTTTCTAAGTGACCCAAACAGTTTCTAATTTCCTTGATTGCATCTTCAATTATAGAATTATCCTTTTTCTTTTTGCTACTGGCAATTTGATTTTTCTCCCTGGAACCATACTGAGGTTCTCTTCCTCCACCTCTGTCCCATTCCCTCTTTAGGCTATTACAAACTCCTATTAGAACAGCATTTTAATCTGAAATACTTGGCTTAATTTGAAGGAGACACCCTTATTAATCTTTTTTTAACATAAAATTCAAAGTAATACCTTGAATTGAAAAGTCTTTCTATTCCATTATTTAAAATTATTTTTTTTTTAGGCAACTGGGGTTAAGTGACTTGGCCAGAGTCACACAGTAAGTATTATATGTCTGAGGCCAGATTTGAACTCAGGTCCTCCTGAATCCAGGGCTGGTGCTCTATCCATTGCACCACCTAGCTGCCCCCCTAACCAGTTTCTAAAAGCAAAGGCCTTGACTAATCTGGGAAGGATTCTTCCCTGGGATGATTAGACTATTTAGTAACAGAAGGGAAGAATGACCATATCCTTTGACACCAGAATTCCACTGCTAGGTATAGATACCCCAAGGAGATAACTGACAAGGTAAAAAGCTCTACATACACCAACACTTTTTTTTTTTGGCTAGGCAATGGGGTTAAGCGACTTGCCCAGGGTCACCCAGCTAGTAAGTGTTATGTGTCTGAAGCCGGATTTGAACTCAGGTGCTCCTGAATCCAGGGCCGGTGCTCTCTCCACTGTGCCACCTCGCTGCCCCCTACACCAAAACTTTTTATGATAGCAAGGAGCTCAAAATAAAAGAGATGTCCATCAGTTAGGGAACAACTAAACAAATTGAGGTAGATGAATGCAATGGAATATTATTGTTGTTCTGTCATTTTTCAGTTGTGTCTGAGTCTTCATGATCTCATTTGGGGTTTTCTTAACAAAGACACTGGAGTGGTTTGCCATTTCCTTTTGCAGCTCATTTTACAGATGAAGAAACTGAGGCAAACAGGGTTAAGTGACTTGCCCAGGGTCACACAGCTAGTAAGTAGCTGAAGCCAGATTTCAGCTCAGGAAGAGGAATCTTCCTGACTCTAGGCCTGGAGCTCTAACCACTGTGTCCAAGACATGCCTGAAAAATGACTGAACAACAAAAATTTTACAAGCAAGTTGAATAAGACTGCATAAATTGTACATTTTAGAATGGCTATATTCCTAAAAATGAGTGTAAAAAATAAAAGTTGTCTAGGCCATATACCATTTCCCATTGACTTACTATCTCAGAGATACTCTATCTTCACCTTAGTTTAATTTTGTGCACTCATCAGTGGTCTTTTGCCATGGAGTGTTTTTTCCCAATGCATTCTGGGATTTCATCTGTGGGGCTAATTCCCAGGGTGAAAACTCCTTCCACAAAAGGGATCTATTGGCAGTTTTTCTTATTAAAGAGTTGCCTGCCACACTCCTGGGGTAAATGACTTGCACAGCCATACATCCAGCATATGTCATAGGCAAGACTTTCTGAGTCTAGGTCTTTGTGACTCCAAGGCCAGCCCTCTGTGGACTCCATGGGGCCACCTCAGTCATGTCATTAATGAGCTGCTGACCATTTACTCACATAACTTTTCCCCTCGTGGTATTTTTTTGTGTGGGGTCTCACACCAACAGCTAGCTTACTTCTGATTCCCCAGGACTACTCCCATACCACTGATTTCCAGCTCACTGCTTATAGGCCCCTCTCCACTTTGTTACCACCATCATCTACTGTCTTCTTGGGTCTATTTCCATTTCCACTGATGATTTGAACAGCTGGTTTAGGTTTGTCTTCTCTACTCCATCTTTGGTAATTTCAGTGTTGCCATATATGCTCCTTAGCAGCAAGAACCATGATAAAGAAGGGGAAAAGAGGTATCTCCTATAACAACTAGCCCAGCTGCTTGCACAGAGTGCCCTGCACACAGCTCTATAAATGTGGCTTTCATGACAGCTGAGTAGAGCCCTGAATCCTAGCAGAGGGCAATCTGTTTCCCTCAATTTAAGCCTGCGTGGACCACACCAATATGGCTTCTTTAGCTCCCCTAGGACTCTACAGAAGGGTGAAAACAGAAGACTTTCTGACCTGAAGTGCTCTGCTCCTGAATAGGGGTTCAGAAATGCAGCATCTTCAGGTCACTGACACCCTAATGTTGAGATCACAGATCTGTATCGCTGGGACTCGAGCTTGTCAGCTTCACAGCATCCACTGTGAGGAATCTTATGTTGAGACAATGGAATTTCAATTAAGCTCAATGAAATGATTTTCTTTTATTGATTTGATTTTATTTCTTTCTCTTTTTCTTTTCTTTTTCTTGGAGACTCTAAAGAATCAGCATTGATTAGTCAATAGGAAACAGAACATCAAATATACAAATCCAACATTGTTAGAAATAATTTGGTATTAATATTACACATCTCATGGAGTCTTCCAGTGACATGATCATCCTTGTGACTCTGCCAGTCATGGAATGCATTTCTTCACCACCAGGGTGGAAAGATCACCCTCTAAATCTAAATCACAATCTCCCAAATCAAAACTGAAATACACAATGTGATATTAAAGTTGCATAGCTGACCACTTGAATTTTCATCATTTATATTTTAAAGTTGTTGCATCCGGTTTGCTGATACAAAATCTCCTGTTTTTGAATCTACTTTAAAGAAAGGATTATATGCTCCAACTCCTCCTGTGCCTGATGATCCTAAAAAAGATACAAACACATCATGAGATTTAACATGTTTAAGATACGTTTTTCTTCCTTTCCCTAGAAATAGTTTTTCATTTTTTCCTCTTACGGATGGAGGGAAGGGGATAGATTTCTCAGCAGTAATTATTACAAAGAGCATATGTAATAAGATTGCATGGGACTAGATATGATTCACGATTCTATGAAAATTTGGAAAAGCTTGAGAAGTGTTGCAGAATGCTTGTCCCATGTAGTAGAGAAACTGGAGGGGTCAAGGAAGCAGGAAAAGAGGGCTGGGGAGAGGGTTGTCTTTCTTGGAAGCTTGACATGTTGGGATTTTCCCAACACAGGGACACAGACACTTTTTATGTGGAGGGATATAGATGTAACACTGTAGGTAGCATCTATATGTGGCACAGGTCTGGAAAGCACTTTTACATGTATTATCTCATTTGATTGGATAAACTCAAGGTGAGGGATCTTGCCTAAATACATCATCTTTAGGCCTAAGAATCACACAATTTCTATCATTCCAAGGCAGTACTGACAGAGTGAGTAGCCTTACACTCTAAGTACCAACTGTCTCAACTGAAATGTGCTTGTGAAGTCTTAGGTCATACACAGAGCCCCAGAGGCTAGGGGACCATCTCATCCAGCCCTCTCATTGTACAGATGATGACAGTCTCTGTCTTCCCCAAGGCCAGAACAAATATACAGCAGAGTTAGGAGGAGACCCCAGGGGTCCTCCTCTTTCCACCACAACAAAATACTTCAAGAATCAATCCCATTGTGAATTTCAGTCTCCTCCTCTGCAAAATGAGGGACTGCATTTCTCAAGAGTTCACATTCCAGCCCTAAGATTCTATGATCATAGACATACCTTTTTTCACACCTTATAGAGTTAGTCTTCTTCCTAGCATCAACAGTTAGAATATATTCATTAACTACTTCTTTAAAGAATATTAATGCCAACAAACGGTGACCTTTGCTTATATGTGCATAAAGATATATTCTCTTGGAAAATGGCAGTTCACTGACATGCTTCACAAATGAGAGATTTAGTAGGGATTATTACTGATAGGACCCTGAAACAATGATTTATCCAGAACTGTCACATGTGCCATATGTATATCTAAGTGGTTTCTTAATGAATCAATACTTTTATTTCACTTTAATTATTTTTAATGGCAGAGAAAAATAGAATTACCTCTGTACTGAAATTAAATATGAGAAAAATATCAGTAACAAGAAAAAGTCAAGAAAATAATACATTTACTAAGCAATGTCCTTTTTGTACTTGGACTCTGATATCAGTACCATGTGACTATTTTTGACAAATAATTACTCAGAGATTTCAGGTGTCTTTAGAAAGTCTCAATACTCTTCCCAAGATTAAATAATAGGAAGAAATGGCACATAAAAAAGACTTCCAAGATGCCTGCAGTTTTAAAAAAAACCCCTCCCCATTATGATGGAAAAAGAAGGCCATTGTTATGATAATTGTTGTACATCACATTAATATAATGGAGTCAGTCAACGAGAATTTATTAAGAATTTACTATATGTCAGAGTCTGTGTTAAATGCTGGGGGTATAAAGAAAGGCAAAAACATGGTCCCTGCCCTCTAGAACATTACAATCCAATGGAGGAGACACAGCAGGCACACGAATAGGTATGCACGAGATACACAGAGAGTAAATGAAAGGCAATCCGAGAAGGGAAGGCTTTGTCACTGGTGGGGAGGGAGGGCGGGGAATCTCAGAAAAGATTTCCTGCAGAAGGTGGGATTTGAGTTGAGTCTTAAAGGAAGCCAGGGAAGCTAAGGCAGAGGTGTGTAGGCTGAGCATACAAATGCCTGGAGAGGAGAGATGGAGGATTGAGTTCAAGGAACTTCAGGCAGGCCAATGTTGCTGGATCACAGATCATTTGGTGGGGAGTAAGGTGTCAGTAGATTGATCATAACAACACACATTGATAGCAGATGGCTCTTCTACATACATTAACTTAGGTTAATTCACTGCACTTCACTCCATCAAAGGTTTATTCAGCGCCTGGGGCATATAAAATAGTAGTAGGAATAAAAAGATACCAAAAGAGACAGTCCTAGTTCTCCAAACATGATAGCGAGTAGTGGAGGTAGCGTGGAAGAGATGGACTGGGGATGAGAGACATACATGAATGAGGATGAAACTTCTTGTTAGCAGCAGCGAGGTGGCGCAGTTGATAGAACACTAGGCAGAGTCAGGAAGACCTGAGCTCAAAGGCAGCCTCAGACACTTATCAGCTGTATGACTTTGGGCAAGTCACTTAACCTTGTTTGCCTCAGTTTCCTCATCTGTAAAATGACCCAGAGTAGGAAATGACAAACCACTCCAGCATCTTTGCAAAAACACCCAAATGGGGTCACAAAGAGTAGAACATGACTGAATACCAGTAAAAACAACTGCATCAAGTGTTATGAGGAATTTGGGGTGGGGGAGGGGGGACAGAGCCTGTGGAGTTGGAGGTTTCAGATAAGGCTTCATAAAGGAAGACTCTTCCCCACCTCCCAGAGCTGGGTCTTGAAGAACTATTTCAAGAGATGGAGGTGCCAGAGTGTTGGCCTGCTCGGATCTGCACACAGATGGTGAGACTGTGGAGGAATTCATTTCCATTTGGCTGGAATGTGGTCTATCAAGGGGACCAGTGTGAAACAAAGCTAGAAGGCAGGTCAGATACAGAGTCTGGGGGCTCCCTCAGGGCAGGAACCCCTGAAGGGTCGGCAGTAAAGCAGGCACTGATCAGTCTTGTGCCCAGGACCACGATTCTGGCAGCTGTGTGGGGGCAGAAGGAGAGGGGAGACTCTGAAGATCAGTTAGGAGGCCATTCTAATGGAGAGGGCCTGATAAGTAGAGAGAAGGGAAAGCTCTAGCTTGCACGTACTTGGGTGTGCACATGTTGTCAGGCTCCCTTCCTTCTGAGAGAAGGTAAGCTCCCTGAAGGCAGGTTTTATCTTTTTTTTGGTTTTTGTCTCCCCAGATCCCTTTCCCACTGACTGGCACTTGCTACATGCTCATTGGATTGAACTGAATTAACTCAAGAAAGATTGTGGAGGTGGAAGTGACAAGACTTGAAAAGTCACGGAATGAAGAGGGGAACAGGAGCGAGAATACGTGGAAGTAAGGCTCACAGTGAACATCCTTCACTTGTTGTGGATTCTGTGCCTTCCTTGGTTTCTTTTTAATAGTCTGCATCTAGTGTCCCATTATGATTTTCTCTGCTCCTTTTCCAATGGCAAGTATTACTACAGTGATGTTTTAAAGTACTGTTTTTATTTGCTTAGGAAATATTCCATCTAGAAACGTAATTCATTTCCTTTTTTTTTACACTTGAGTTTTTTTCTCCACAGCAATGAGTTTTAATGCTTCTGCCGAGGCTAACAGAACAGTCATTATTTATTTAGCTAGCATCCTCACACAGCTTTAGACGGAAGAATCCTACTTATTTTAAGAGAAGAATGTTTCCCAGGGCCTCAGGTTATCCACTTGGGACCAACAGGAGGCCACATGACCTGAACACAGGCTGCTATTTCAGAGCAGGAAATCTAAGCCTCTGAAAGCTAGAGTGTGGATCCCCTGGGCCCCAAGTCTAAAAGAGAGGAAGGGGCTCCCAGCATACAGATACTGGATAAGCGATTTCTGTCCTGGGGGGTTTAATGTGTTGGTGAATCTTCTGCATTGTTAGCAACTTTGTAAGTGTCAGCACTGAAGCAAAAGCAGTTTGTAACCTTTGGGCTTATCCCTTTTTCCTTTGCCTTAGATTTATTTATGCTTTTGTGTCACAACTCCCTTCCTTCCTTTACCATGTTACAAACTCCTTGAGGACAGAGAGTGAATCATATGAATTTTTGAAATCCCCTCCTGTGTTCTTGTCGAATTGAACTTGTTTAGAAGGAATCTCCACAGCAAGGGATCCTGCATAGATCTGAACAAACCCTCCACTTAGGATCATATGGATCTAGAACTGGAGGGGTCCTCAGAGGCCATTCAGTCCACCTCCCTGTCTCCCCATTTTATAGATGAGGAGGTTATGGGATTGGCTGAACGTCACACACGTACTGAGTGGCAGAGCCAACATTCGAACTCAAGACCTCTGATACTAATTCCAGCACTCTCTCCTCTGCTTCCTCTCTCCTCATTTCAACCCAGTTTTGCCTTATTTTTCATAGAATCAAAGAATCATAGCATTTTAGAGGTAGAAAGTAACCTAAAGCCCAGGTAGCCCACTTCACACCCACAAAAGAATCCCCTTCCACAAGACATCTGTTCTATGGCCCTGCAGTGAGGAAAGAACCCACAGCTCCTGGCAGCAGCCCACCTCACTCTGGGACAGCTTTAATTGTAAGGAAGGTCTGTCCTTACTTCAAGTCTAAAGTTCCTGCTCTGCAGCTTCTACCCATTGCTTTACATTCCATTTGAAAGGTAAATACATGGGGCCTCCTCCCTCTGAATTCTCTATCACAGCGCTCCATTTTCTAGGAGGAATGCAGCAATGAGCGGCAGGCAGAGAACACCTGCTAATGGTGCTGCCTGATAGGTACTGCTCACTGGTTAGCCAGAACTTGTATGTTTCCTAAACTTGGCTTATGACTGGTAGTATCCAGTGGTATTCACACAGAACTTTTATTTTTGCTGCATGTTGTTAGTGTTTTGATATTTATTTTATATTCTATTCTTATGATAGTAGGAACAGTATAAAAGTTGATCCTGAAGGAAAACAGGAGAAAACCATAAGCATCTGAATTACAAAGTCTGATATAATGCCTTGTTTTAACCATGTCAGTTAGGGTAAAAATTTTCTCTCATGTGCTCTGAAATTCTATTAGTGAGAATTTATAAAGCAATTCATATGGCTCATATATAATAATCACAAACATAAGAACTGAGAGGGGCTCACGAGATCCAGTAGTCCAAACCCCTTATTTTACAAATACAAAAAACAGGTTAAATGGCTTGTCCAAGGTCACACAGCTAGATATGCTGAAACCCAGACTAACCCAGGTTTCTCGTCTCCTCGTCCAATACTCCTTCTGCCACATTATAGTGCACCTAATTTTTGAAGGTTCAGATGCTCCATCTTATAACATAACGTGAAAAGAAAGAACACTTTAGCATGTGCTTGTGGCTTAATCACTAACCAACAGAGTAGCAGATGAGGGGAGGGCACAACACCTCTTTTCTCTTCTTGAGGGCAGGAGACACCTTCAGTCCCATAGCCAGAGTAATGTTAATCCAGAGCAGCTGTCTTGTACCGCATGTATCTGACCAAGGAGAGCCAATGGAGAGACTCTGGGTGGCCTAGGATGTGGCTCTTCATCGCTTGAGTTGGAAAAACAAGCTGAGTGCTTGGCTTCCTGTGGTGGGAGCTTACAAAAGAACTTGGCAGCTGAGGATTCTGGCCACTTGGTTGCTAAAAAGGCAGCTGTGTCGTAGGGACTTCAACAGCATTAGCCACAAGGTTAACAACGCATTTCATCCTGTTTGGTAAAAACCATTTCCACTAAAGCCTTCCTCTTCTGATGCCTCATTGTAGCATGTAACTGGACTCTGGCTCTTCAAGACTGTGCCAGTGTGCCATACGAGTAGAGGCTGGGAGATGGACTCTCATCTTAATGCCCGCCCACTTAGGGGCACAGAGGTTGATCACTGGAGGGCTGGACCTGAGGGCAAGAAGACCTTAGTTCAAATCCAACATGACAGTCACGAGCTGTGTCCCTGGGCAAGTCATTTAACTGCTGCCTGCCTCGGTTTCCTCATGTGTAAAATGGGCAAAATGGGGATAATAGCACCCACCTCACAGGATATATGAGATAATGTTTGTAAAGCATTTAGCACTGTGCCTGGTACATAGTGGATGTTTAATAAATGCTTTTTTCTCTTCCTTCCTTCCTTTTTCTCTTTGTTTGTTTCTTCCTTCATCTTAAATCTGTCCTTAAATCTTACCTTAAATCATCTGAAATCAGACCTTCAATCTGTCCCTTCTCCAATCTGTCTTCACACAGACGCCAAAGACGTCACTGATGCCACTTTCCTAGAGTGCAGGTCTGATCACGTTAGCTCCCTATTCAATAGCCTCCAGTGGCTCCTCCTTACTTCTAGAAACAAATACAATTCCTCTCTGGGTCACTTAAAGCTCTTTACAAATTAGCCCCTTCCCGTCTTGGCAGTTTTCTTACATAGTGCTTCCCTCTACAGACCTGATGGTCTCACTAGACTGGCCTACCTTGTATTCATTACACGTGACATCATTCCTCTCCATGTCTTTGCAATGGATCTTCTCTAATCTTGGAACGCTCTCCTGCCTAACCTTGAATTCTTAGAGTCTCTGGTCTCCTTCAAGATTCATCTTAGATGCCACCTTCAGTAGGAGGCCTTTCCTGGTCTCCCCCTGCCCCTAGCTGTTACTGCCTTCCCTTTTCATATATTCTTTCCTCCTGTATATTCTGTGTGTTTCTCATAGATGCTTATTCAAGTATATATTGAAGGAGAACATCAGCCGTGCAGGAATGAAAGACACTTGATGCGTGCAATCTGTACAGAATCAAAACATCACACTGATTAAAATCAGACTCCCCGATAAGGGGGAGCTCTTAAACAGGCCTTCTTACACAAGTAAATGTTAGGCAATAGCTTGGTAATCTGAGGTAGAACTGAGAAGAGAGCATTCCACAATTCTGCTACCACCAGTAGAGCTGTTGGGGTTTACTGCTATTCATTCCCTGCGGTTAGCAACACTCACCACTTCTTCCTTTTCAGTCCCAGTAATACTGAATTCCCAGTGGCCTAAGACTGAACCATTCCTCTCTGCAGCCCTCATTTCCTGTTCTCTTATCCCCATCTACTTTAACCCCGTGGATTTTATGCACCATTCCAGCTATCGTGTCTTCTCGAATTCCCATTCCATCACCAATACATTTCCCTTCATTTTTTACTTCTAATGTTTCTTCCATCTTCCTCTCTCTTTCTCTAATGTTCAAATCCCTCCCTCCCTCTCTCCCTCTTTCTCTCTCCCTCCCTCCCTCCCTCTCTCTCTCTCTCTCTCTCTCTCTCTCTCTCTCTCTCTCTCTCTCTCTCTCTCTCTCTCTCTCTCTCTCTCTCTCTCTCTCTCCCCCACTTCTTCATCTTAAAAACAGACAAACCTCACTTGCACCTAACATCTACCCTGACATTATCTTACTCTATGGCTCTCCTCTCTTTCACAGGCAAACCCTTACAAAAAGCTGTCTACATTTGTCATCTCCCTTTTCTCAGTCCCTCCTTAGACCTCTGCAGCCCAGCTTCTGACCTCATCACTAAACTGAAAAGGCTCTTTACAAAGTTACCAATGATCTCCTCATTGCCAGATCTTTAGCCCTGACCTCTCTGGACTGCTGACCGCTTCTCTTCCTAAATACTCACTCGTATAAGACTTCATGATATTTCTCTCTCAAGGTTTTCTTCTCACCTGTCTCACTGCTCCTTCTCAGTCTAATTTGCAAATTCATCATCTTCCCCCCGTATCTGTGCATATACTCCAAAACTCTGTTCTGGGACCTTATTCCTCTCTACACCCTTATCCCTGGTTATCTCATCAGCTCCCAAGACTTTAATTATCATTATCTCTGCAGATGCTTCTCCTTGCTGTCAAGGCAACAGCAACAGTTTTCCCCTTCGGACTAACAGCACTTTCAAACTCTACATTTGCACCTGCATAGTACAGTTTGCCTTGCATTATTATTATCTGAAGCGACAAAAAGTTCTCATTTGGAGTCATACGTCCTATACTGGACCTTAGCTCTGCTATTTAATACCTGTGTGACTTTGATTCCATTTTTAAAGCAAAAGCATAATTTGTGATCTTTCAGTTTCATTTCTTTTGGAATTTTCTTCTTTTTCATAATATCATCAGAATCCAACCCTCAGTTCCTTTAAAATTGTGTTGCTCCTAGCAAGCCAATTTCTTGTATGTATTTAGACACACATTATACATTATTTCCCACTGAATTCATTGTCTGCCAAGAATTAGCATTTCTAGAAATTAGTCATAATTCCATCCCAGAACAAATAGAAGTAAACAGCACTAGAATGAAAGAAACATTTCTTGATGTAGCAAAGTGAAATGCATGGAGAACAATAGCCATCATGTGTAGCAAATATTATGGGAGTCTACCACAACCACTTGTAGGTTATCAGCCTCCCAGTTGACTCAGCACTCTCTTCCCCACCAGCTCCTCCAAGGAAGATTCATCATAGGTGGAGTGACAAATTCAGAGGTAGAACCTATTAACCTTAGAATGGGCAAGCAGAGAGGGCTAGGCAAGCAGATCTGAGAATCATCTCCATAGAGATCATGGAACTTGGGAGCTGATGAGTTCATTAAGTGAAATAGCATAAAGGGAGACGGGAAGAGGAAGTAGGACAGAGTCTTGGAGGACTCCCGTCATTTAGTCAGCATAACCTGGTGAAGGTCTAACACTTTTATCGTCCTGAGCCTTAGAGCAATCCAGTGCTATGATTGAATTGTGCCTTATTAATTAGTGAAATTGCAGTTTTCTCAGCTCAAGGAACCACCTCAGTTCATTCAATATCAGTTGTTATTATAAACTGGAGAAACCTTTCCCAATAATTGTCAACAAATCAAAGGTATAGACAATTTAATATTTTGAATGTGATTGAGTTCACAGCCATTTACCTCTAACTCTCAATATGCACTTCTCACCAAGTTCCAAATCTTACTTCCTCCACTCTGGCCATTATTCCTAATCCTTCCACACTGGAAACTTTGACTGAACCCCTAGAACTACCCTGGGCTCTGATAGTTGAGCTTTAGACTTATCTTGTACCTGGCCTTCCATGACACTTTATTTTCCTCTTATGACTGCTTTAGTAGAATCTTATAAACTTTGGCATGTTGTCTTTCTTATGTTCTATGAACAAGCATTATTTAAGTGATTACTCTGTGTTAGGGACTATGCCAAGCCTGTGAGATACAAAAATTATCTTTGAAAACTATTAAAAATATACACAAGATCAGTGAGCTGAGGTGTAACTTAACCAATAATGGAAAATAAGTTATCAGCCCTAAAAGTGTAAGTCTTAAAAATTAAGAGAAAAAGAAACTAAAGACTACAGAACTTATAAAACTCAAGAGCTAGTTTAATTTAAGAAACTACTACACACAATTTATATTCCAGCAAAATTGAGGATTCAAAGGAGATGGATGAGTGGTTACAAAAATATAAAATACCAAAATTAGTGAAGCAAGGAATCAAGAGCTAAACACCGAACCTCAGAAAAAAAGAAACTGAGCAAGTCAAATTGGGGGTGCAAATCTAAAAAAGAAGGACTTACAGATGAATTCAATAAGCATTTAAAAGTAAGTCATAACTAGGATATAAACGTTATTCTCTAAAATAGACACAGAAGGCATTCTATCAAACACCATTTCTGAGACAAGTATGACCTTCTTTCCAAACCAGGACAAGGCAGGGCAGAGAACTATAGACCATCTCACTAAGAAATAATAAAATTTCCTTTTTAGATGATAGCTTATCATTCTAAGTTTATTTTTTTCTATTTTTATAATTTTATTGATGTGTTTTGTCTTCGCATTGCCTAAATTTCTCCTAGTCTTCCTCACTTTCCCTCCCACCAGCCATTCTGGATAACAAAGAAAACTTTTAAAGGAAAGAAAAAGAGGAAGAAGAAAAACAACAAAAACAAGCAATACATTGAGAAAGTCTGAAAATATATGTAAAGTTCCACATGCATGGATCTTCCACTTCTGCAAAGGAGTTGGATATATCTTCTCATACCTCTTCTTTGGGTCAATACTTGTTCTTTGCAATTTTGTAACATTGACTTTTGATTGTTTTGTGGGGTTTTTTTTCCATTTTACATTGTTGTACTTGTATATATTGTTTCTGGTTTTTGTTTTAAATAAGTTTTTATTGATGTCTTTTGGGGTTTTTGCATCAACATAATTTGCTCCAGTATCCCTTCCCATTTCCCTGTCAGAAAGCTATCTCATATAACAATGACAATAGCAACAAAAATAATACTTTGAAGACAAAGAAAAAGAGGAAAAATAATAGCATAAGTGATCAATAAATTGAAAAAGTCTTAAAATATGTGTAATATACCAGCTATCTAGCTGGATGGAGCATGAGAAGTAGAGTCAGAAAGTCATGAGTTCAGATCCTGCCTTGGACACTTCCTATGTGACCCTGAGGAATTCACTTACCTGCTGTCTGCCTCAGTTTCCTCAGCTATAAAATGGAAATAATAACAGCACCTCCCTCCCAGAGTTGTTATGAAGATCAAATGAGTTAACATAGTCTGTGGCTGTGTTAGGATTCCTGCCGAGTGTGAAGAGAGAAGGAAACACGTGGGCCAGGTGGGAGGTGTAAAGAACAAACTGTGTTTATTAATCTGAGGGTTAGGGTTTTTATATCTTAAATGCACGGGAGCATCACCCAAAGTAGCAAAAGCAAAGTAACAACAAGTATTTTTCTCATGGGAACAGTAACCAGGGGAGTTACCCTGAACTGTTTCTTTGCTTCCCTGTAATCTTCAAAGTCCTCCTATTCTCTTTGTTTGTTTGTTTGTTTGTTTTTTTGGTGAGGCAATGGGGTTAAGTGACTTGCCTAGGGTCACACAGCTAGTAAGTGTCAAGTGTTTGGTCTGAGGCCAGATTTGAACTCAGGTCCTCCTGATTTCAAAGCCGGTGCTCTATCC